TCCAATCAGGTCGCAACACCTTGGAGGACATAGCAGGAGAGTTCAAAAGCCAAGAAGAAATCATATTGCTGTTGAGTACTGATTCTCACACCGACTCATAAACTCTTTGAACAGACTCCCAGAAGCATCCTCAACTCATTCATTCACGAAGGTTTAGAGGTTGACGGTATTGACGTTCGCGAATTGTACGGAGTATACTGACGCAAGATCTTATACCAACAACTTCTATAGTATTCGTTTCTCGTGTACCAAAGATAAAGCAAAAGGCAAGATTGATCGTCCAAAGTACGAGATGTATTTCGGGACCAAATCGCGGGCTGAAGTGAATGCTTAGCTGGCTAGTGATCGTGCACACACGTGACACGACGGAGTACCAAATGGCAAGGATGCTTGACCGGAAGCCTTCAGCTAAACAAGTCGACTTAAACAGTGAGGGTCAGCATCCAATGTTGAGTGATGATTGATGTGGTCAATAATTTTGGGGAGTTATTTACCGCTTCAAAGGGTTTGGGAAACCACATAAATCTACTAGAAAATGATTAACATAGGCTCCAGGCTTTCTATCCTCAACCAATAAATCTGAATCCGAAACCGGTACGTTCAACGTTTGCGTTACATTTCAGCTTGATCGCTATATATTTTTATTTTTGCTGTGGGACTCGCACAAGTGTTCCTCCAGTTCCTTAATTGTAAGCTATAACTCTTTCACTAATAAGTTATGGTAAATCATGTAAAAAAGCCACGAACTCAGTCACATGATAACTGATAGCACCTATATGCTCGCAACAACGAGCAACACAAATCCCACAAAATATGGAAGTGAGACGCACAGCTTGCCAATACGCCGAAAGCGCTGAGCTGCTGTATCACTACCATCTGCTGTGGCTGGAACTAACAACAAAAATATACTGACAACTAGTTGTAGCAATGCTTCTACAAACTCAACACGTGGTCCTGACGTAGACCTCTTCACTTCACCTTATGTGCGTGTCACAAAACTTCAGATGCCTAGTCAAGCTTCAACACTTACTTCAGAAATAGAACGACTAAAGCTGTCTGTAGAAGAGCTGAAGACTGAGATGCGGGATATAAGGTGTAGTAAGTCTATGAATGCTAGATGTTCAGAACATTTGGCCAGCATATCTGAACTATCGACACAGATTAGTGACATAAAATCACAGGTCTACAAACTTGCACCTCTGAACATCCTGACCAGTACCATTAACCCTGAAGAACTTGACACAATCAGTAACTAAGGTAGACACCTTGATAAACTTCATCACAACAGAGGTTGTCAAAAGACTAGATACCAAACTAAGTGTGATATTCTATAATGCACCAGATAATGAGGGGTTGAAAAAGGTTCAAAGCATCTTACTTAGGGCGGCTAAAATGCCTAACTCCCAAAAAAAATGAGACTGAAAAAGAGTCAGCACGACTACTGCTGCCCCATGCGCCTTCAGTTTGAAACAAAGACAGAGGCAAAGAAATTCACCCGTACACAACGTATCCTGTTACAGGACACGATCTGCAAACAAATAAAAGATGTGGCAGTTAAGACAGTGGTTGAAAGGCGTGTTTACAATCACCTCACTAAACCTAATAGCAAGACACCGCAATTCACCAAAATAGATAAACACACAGCCAACACGTTAGAACTCACAGCCTCCTCCCTGCAATAGCTCCACAGAACACGATACCAACCGAAAGACTTGTGAACTATAATCTTACTCCTAAATTAGCCTCTCCACCCTTCACCGTGGATCTAGATATGTTTCTGGATAGCCGTAAGACAGAAATCAATCCCTCTTGTAATTCGGCAACATCCTCTACTAGCCAAAACGTGAGAATTCAAATGGAATTCGGTAACAAAGCATGTCGAAATACACCAGTTGCTATGAAAAATACCCAACATTTTCAAAGTCCTAAGAAGAATCCACGCTGTAAGTTGAATATTATTCAAAACTATGCTGACATCCACATTAAAAACACAAATAAGGCCATAGGGTCCACAGAAAATAACGACACAACTTGCTCGCATACTATGCCAAGGCACACTAGGGGCTGGTGTAGTGACACTATCACCCAAAAGGTACAAGTGGCAACACTCTGGGTCTTCAAAGTATGACGCACAAACGAACTTCGACAGAATATAGGGAACAAGTCTTCTGGGAATCAAAGCACAGTGCAGCAGTCCATACAGCGAAACCCAGGTAAGGTCACTTAGAATGTCTCCAAACAATAGGCAGATTAATAAGTCATGGGCATCACAATGTATGAGTGATTTTTTATCCAACACATCCCTGTCAGCACTAACCAAACAACTGGTGGGGATGTTAACTCTTCTGAACCCGTACCACCAATGTTGGCTCCCTATCAGGAAGAAAACAGACACAGGCTAGTGCACACGGAACTAATAATCACATCCAACGCCTGTACATGCATAGGCCAAATAAGAACTCCTACCCAAGTCTCCAACCTACCCAAGCCTAGAATTACCTCATCATATAGTGAATCCAATAATAAAACTCATTATTCACTAAAAGAAATAGACAGTAACTCGATAGACATAGGTGAACATGATACTCCCACTAATTGCAACACAGGGTTGTTATACCACGCGGAACAAGTGGATGCCGATCCACACTTGAGCCTGACTGACTAGATTAAATACTTCAAACACTACTTCAACTCTCAAATTTACTTAATCCTTATTATTGCTAGATCTATCCTAAGCAAACTACCGATGCTCTGGGCACACACATTGGTATACAAACCCCCAATAATTATTATTACCGAAGAGATAAGCATCCATGGGTAAACACGCTTTCGATGTCCCAGGAGCAGTGGTAAGGGAGGAGGCTATCTAATGTGCTTCCTGAACACACTCACTGTGATACAGCTAGAAAATACGGAACTGAATGAAATGCATGACACCCTATGGGTCAACGTACACTTCAAAAGTGCTACACTACTAATAGGATGTATCTACAGAGCACCTGGCACCTTTAGTGATTACGAGACGCAACTTATAAATGTACTGGAGCAAGTATCCACTCTTCCATACGAGCATAAAATCATATGTGGCGACTTCAACCTACCCGAAATCAACTGGGACTTATTAAAAGGGCCAACTAAATACGACAAGCTCTTAGAGACACTGGACATTTTCGGTTGGAAACAAACTGTCACTATCCATACAAGAGGTGACAATGTACTAGACTTAATATTCTGTCACGATATAAGTCCCCTCTCAATCTTATTGGGTTCCAAGTTTCCAGGTGTGCACTGCCACTTCCACTGAGTAGCAATGCAGCTTATACCTCCACTCCACAACAAATAATATACGGGAACTATAGTAAGACAAACTGGGCTTTCGTAGAATCAATGCTAAGATCCTCTGAATGGGGCGAATACTTCACTACTGATGATCTCTCGAGAGCTCTGAGCATCTTCTACCAGAACTCAAACACATGCTTAGATGCTGCCATTCCACTCCAAACACTTAAGGTTCGGAGAGAAAAATATAAGTAAACGAGTATTTTGGGCCGACTGCATCATCACCCCTCGAAAGTCTATCGTGATAGTAGTGAACTTGGTGTTATATTATTTAGATGGCTGTTTGAGATATTCCTCTTGATCTAACAACAGAGAATATCCGATAATGTTAGCACCGAAAGATCGTGTTAGTTGCATAGTTCTGACTCTGAGTGAAATGTGGTTATTTTCATTAGTCTTGATAGCAGCTAGAGAAAGGTGTGACTCTGAGAAAAGTAACCAAAGGCTGTATTCATTGCCAAGAATGTTAACAACCAGTGAGCTACAATTCTTGAAGGGAACGAGTGTAGGAAGGTATTAACTGCTTTGAGAAACAGGTGGGTCGTCTTCATATGGTTAGATAAAATGGAATATTTTTACTCCTTGAAGTTCATGTAAAGTATACCAGAACAAAATGTATGTGAATCTGTAGTTATTGCCTTAAATGATATTCGCAATTTACAATTCACACAGTTCGAGGTGAAATTCCACCAGTTTTCTTTGAAAACCGAAAATTATTCAGATCACAACGAATGTGATGATAGCTGCTTTGATAGCATAAGTGGCAATCAAATAAGCAAGATGGAATTTCGTCTCTAACGGATTAAATTGCAAATTTAATTCATTTTCGCCCCTATGTAGGTTGCCACAACTTGGTAGTTGGTTTGCACTGATTTAACTCTCTGAGCTGAGCCAATCCATGTCCACGTCAGATAAGCTGTGTCCAAAATTAGCGGGACCGCCGTCCGGTGTTTAGATCTCTTGAATCTGGCTAGCAGGTCCTACTGGTTGATTTGAGTAGTATCTGACTATTCATGTCAATTAAATCCATAATATGTAGTATTGTAGTGAGAGCTGTCTGTTAGCCAAAATTGGTAGACAGCAATTTACGTCAATGTTTACGTCGCAAAGCTTGGTCATGAGAAAAAACGAGGACAAAGACTAACCCTGAGGAACTCAACAACCAGTCACAGCAGACTTAGCGTGGGCGGATACGATTAGCAGATATATATATCAACGGACTCTCTAAGAAACGGCAACAAAAAGATGACAGAATAGCCTTCAGCAGGAAAACAACCAACCAGAAGACGTTGCTTCTCGGTTAACAATAACGAATAATAATGTACATAAAAATTTATAAGTGACTGTTGATTTTCTGAATAAACGATCTGTTGCCTGGCCCTTGTCTTCTGTCGTTGCAGTATCATATGTATTTCCTTGTTCTGAAAGCAATGTGTAGGGTGGACAATTATTTTCAGAGGCATATCGTAATGGTCTCTCTCATGTATTCAAGCTTCTAGCTAGTTTATACATTTGTTAAGCACTTGCAGAGACTTTATTTTACTTGGTATCATTCACTTTCAGATAAGTTTCTTACCTTGCATTTATTGATTTTCACGTATCTTTTTTTCTTTTCTAGACAATATTGATGGAAGACGTGTGAATAATTGTCATTTTTCAAAATGTTCCCCAAGGGTATACAATTCGCTAACAAACCTTGGGAGTGTGCGGTTACAAAGTTCCATCAGGTAGATTTCGTACTTTACTAAACACTTCATCAAAAAAATAAATAAAAACGTTAAGTTTTACGATTACTATCCTACATCTGTCATTCCTTTAAATGGCTTTTATGATGTACCAGGATTAACAAAACTGTGGGAAACTTTTGTCAATGATTTAAAATCTGCTATTATGATAGAACCATTCAACGCATACCAGTTGATTAATGCCTTTTTAAGTGTAAGTTTTCATCTATATAGGATTATTATAAAACCCTTTTATATTTATTATTTTTTTAGAAAGAGTTTATTGAAGCTGATATTGACTCTTACACGTGTTTGTCGTCTCTTATATCAGCCAAGTGTTTTAATAAGCACAATGAATTAGACATACATACACTTGGTTTACTGATTTCTGTTATAAAGGTTGGTTTGTGGAAATATTTAAAAGGAATTATTAGTATTTGTCTTGTTTTTTTTAAAAAAATTTTACTATAGGAAAAGTTTGATTCTATTAGTATTCGACGTTGCTTTCCGCATATCTTCCATCCTTTACTTTTTTCAAAACTAAATATCTCAGAAGGTAAAGTGATGTTTTTTACGCTTTCAGAATATTGACTTCTTGATACCAATTAGTGTAGTGATTAGTTCTATTTTGGTTTCAATTTTTTTATTCATTCACGTTCCCAGTGACTTGAGGTTTCTGTAGCAATGGCGCTTGTTTTTACGGGTTGGGGTTGCTACCCGCATGCCCAACCTTCCCTCTTTACCAGTCTTATTTTTACTGGCTTAGCGAGGTGAAGGAGTGCGTTGGTAGCCAGGGATCGAACCCTGGACCACGTCAGGCGTAGTTGGTGAGCATTCTAGCTCTGTGCCACCAACGCGTCTGGTTTTAAGCGTCCCTCTAATTAGAGAAAGTTAAATCTCAGAAATATGTAATTATAACTTGGAGTAGAGTGTGCACACTCATTTTAGCAGGATATTATATCTATTGACCTCAAAATGTAATTATTGCCTAGTGCCTATGTGCTTTCAGTTACTAACTTACAAGTTGGCTTTTGCATAAGAAGGTAGAATTGACGACCTCTCTCACTGCCTAAAACATGACTTGGAGTGTAGTGCTCAATCCGGTGTCTGTTTGTTGAGATGCATGAAATTGCTGTTCTCTCTCTGAAGTCAGTTCGTGATGAATCATGAAGTCAATCAAATCTCTGCAAACCAATAATTAAATTTTACTGTTTTATTTAAATCTTTTGCGTCTCAGTATATATGTGAAAACATTCGGCAACTGGACAATGTGTGTTGTGTTCCTGATGATAATGCACAAAGCTGAAGTGTTTTCTTCATTCGAGTTTGCCGTGTTAATTTTGTGGTTTTTCACCCTATGTATATGTGTTTTTAGTGAATTTTCAAACAATTCTGTGTCTTATATATGTCCAAACCAAGTTCACTTTTAACAGTTTGAAAAAATGTGGGCATTGGGTATATGCTATTCATTATATTAATAAAAGTTTTTTGTATTTCCCAATGAATGGAAAACAAAATGATATTGCTTTTACTGGCGTTTCGCTGTTGAATGCTGATAGCTTAATCACAGTAATGTCACTAAAGCAGAATTTGCAAAATCGCAACTTATATATAACAACTTAATCATCGTTCCTCAGCATGGGGGCATTTTTGCATTGTCAAATTGGCCAGTTGGTAAAGATAATAAAACCAGGTGTAGATGACTGTTGGATTTGATAAGTGTGTAAAATTCTAGAAGCAGCGTGTGTTTACATAATGAAATTGCTTATCAGTCACATTCCTGTTGATTTTGTCATTTCATGAGGGAGGGAGGTGCTGTAACCAGGTCAAATTCTGTTTTGGTCTATCATTCATATTCAGACAATTTGGATTCCACTTGATATGAAGTGTTTCTGATATTAGACGTTCTTTGAGATTTCTGAAATGCTTTTTCTGGATGATTTCAATATTGTCAAAATCAATTTTTTGGCCTGATTCTATAGCGTGTAGACCTATGGCTAGCTGATGGTTTTTCAAGCTTTCCTAGTTCAACTGGATTTCTCGGTGGTCGAGCAAATGTTCTGCGGTGTTCCTTTCTACTGATTTTGATTTCTGTCTACCGAAGTTTGTCCGATGTATATGGCATCACATTCCAAGCACTTTATTTTATAGACACAATTAGATAGAGAATCTCTAGGGATTCGGTCTTTTATATGGACAAGGTTGTTTCGTAGTGTGTCTTAGGTTGCAGTGTGATTCCTTCTTTATTTGGACAAACAAATAAACCTTATGTATATAGGAAACAGGATCTCTGCGTATTAGTTCAAGTTTTCACCCTCCACATTGCATCAAAATGAAACACATCAAGTGGGAAGTGATATCAGAAGTTGTTGAGAGTCATAAGCTATAAAGGGGAGGCAATAAATCAAATGAAGATATATGGTAATGTGTACAGCTTAAACAGTAATAATATATCTTTGAAGACGTAATAGATCCGGAGTTGTGGCACATCGGTTTCGGTTACCTAGTGAATTTCACCAAGTTGTGTGGTATTTTCTTTTCTTGAGAATGGTGTGATTATATTCATTTAGAGTTAAGTGTTTTATAAAATATCAGTACACAACGTTGGTAATCTCTTATCCAAAGGTCAAACTAACGTGAGGGATCTAGCCATTTTAGTCAAAAAAAGTCATTGGTAGGGAACTGCTAGTTGTTGCAAATGAATATCACAGTAAATAAAAATGGAAGTCGTTTGATGATGAATGTTTCTACTTTCAAGCTTGTATGGTGATATATTGTTAGCTGAAGTGCACCAGTGGTTAAATAAGAGAATTTTTGTCAACTACTTACTTGATGATATTAGATAGTTTGTGGCAATCGGTCACAGGAAGCCTTCCACCTACGTTTCATGCCAGTTGGCACTCGTCAGCAAGGCGTATCTGCAACCTTGAAGGAACTCAAGTCCCTTCTGAGATTCGAACCCGCGTCACCTAGTGCTGCAGTTAGTCAGAGACATTACCACTGAGCTGTTCGGGCTCGCAACTGACCTCTTTTAGGACTGTAGTGGGTAGTTTGATTGGACACTAGTAACTAGTGTGATGTGTCTAGTCCTTTCTTTGGCGCAGACTGATGGCAAGCTACCTAAAATGGTGGCCACATTGTAAACTTGACTGACTGAATTCAGTCTGCACCAAAGAAAGGACTAGACACATCACAATAGTTACTAGTGTCCAATCAAACTACTCACTTGGTTTAGGTTCACTTCGCAGTCGATGGACTCTTAAACCTCACCTATCCCGTAGTAAGCCCAGGAAGAAAGGAAGGTTGAGCGTTTGGACAACAATCCTACCCGGTGAAACTTCAAAGCTTGAAGTCCTATATTTCATATTTTAAACACTAGTGGATTCTAAATGTAATGCTAACGATCTTCCGCTCTATAAAAGGTTAGGTTTACTACGAATGAACTATTCTCTGACGATCTTCACGTTTACACTTGTGAAAGACAATTACAATATTACAAGGTAACGTGGTGTAGAAAGAATGGAGGTAGTTGGTTCACTCTAGACTAAATAGTGGAGATATGACTTATTGACTTAAGTACTTAACTTCTAGTCACTAGTTCCCAGGTTCGAATCCCACTCCACCTATTTCAGTCTCAGCAACTAGGTAGTTGTATGTGCGTATGCGTGTGACTCAGCCTGGAACATCTGTTCTCAGTAACTGATTTCATAAGAGACTCATTAATTTGTTTAAGTTTACTTCGTATTTCCCAAGCGGCCTACTCAGGATAGCGCTTTGGTGTTTACAACGATGGGTGCTATGCTGGATTATACTCTCAGTGAAAACACCATCATCACTCACTGGGGATTACAGACAAATCCAGCTGTCCAGTAGGAAATCGGAGGAAATACTCATCCTGGATTCCACTGCTAGTCACCATCAAACAAATCACGTCAGATTAAATAATCGCCTTATAAACTGAGATTGTTAGACTAATTTATCCAGGGGTCTAGTGTTTTAAGACTATTCATTCTCCCTCTCCCCCTCCCTCTACGTTTTCATTGTTTGTTCAGATAATGTGATTTATGGAGAGGGATGAGTTTTAGGATTTAATTCTTATACTTGTAGTTTTTCTTCCATTATATCTAACCGAAGTGACTTTCATCCTCACTTATTTTTATTTACACAGATGGTAGATATTCACTATCTCAGACGGAACTTATTAATCAGTTGAAACAGCTTACTCAATTTTGTACAACTATTTCATCATGTGATGGCCAACTTATCTACAATTTATCACAATTTGTTCCAGCTCATTTTCTATTCAATTGGATTCAATTGGCATATTGTCTTACCATAAATGAAATTGCTCATAGTGATAATGATAAGATGGATTATTATTGTTGTTCTTATACTACTGCGATTGGATTTCTATTCATAATAGAATCTAAAAATGTTAAACAATATGATGTTTTTATGAAATTTATTGTAAGTTTTAATGTGGTGAATTGATTTTTAGACAAATTTCTCACGAGCATATAAGTATCTGTGATATGTTTTCATACCACTAGATTTTATGTTAACAGTAATATTTTGAAGAGTTTGCATGTAGGGATTGGATTTGTTTCAAGTTGGACAACGAACTGATATCCGTTAGAGAACCATTGAGAACCTGGAAGTACTAGACAGATGGTTACATAACCGGAGGGTCGTAGGTTCGACCCCCAGTACGCGCGTGCTCCCAATGCTTACTTACTTTTACTTTACTTCGGCTTTCTCCTACGGGAGGATGAGCCGGCTTCATGAACATCTCGAATCATCGCTGCCCAGGCGCGGCGATCTGATTTGTAAAAGAGTTCATGAAGTTTCATGGGAATTTGGTACGAGTGACGTCCCCAGAATCGCTCGGCCTTTTGTTTGAGAGTGCAGCTCTAGCCTTTACACAACCAAGTGTGACCTACAAGGCAGTAGGAGTGGAGTAGGGAGTCCACTATCCATTGGCAGCCAGTGACCGGAGTTCGGTTCATACGCCTTTTTGAATGGGGCCAGACATCCAGGACATCCAACAAGCCCTTTGTCCATACGTCTGCCGGTGAGCACCAGTGAGCTTCATACGCCAGTCGTTGGAGGTTTGGAATCAGGGTTTAGCCATCTCCCCTAGACTGTCATCCAATGGACAGTCAACCCGGTGAAGAGCGCCGGGCATTCACTTTCGCCCTCTCACTTTGGTGAAAAAACACCTCCGCCACGTGAAGACAGTGAGTAGGACATCCTCAGGAGAGGCTATGTAAGACGCCCGGTCATATGGGAGCATTTCAAGAGATGTGCGGAGGGGTGGCCAACCCGCAGCGCAAGGCACCCACCCCCGACCATCCTGAGGCTTTGGAGGCAATGCGTCCTAAACTAGGATGAAACAGCTGTCCAGTACTCTCTGTTGATCTCCAATGGTTCTGTAACTGATGTCAATCTGTGATCACACTTGAAACACATCAAATCCCTACAAACTAACACTTAAAAATTAATCTGATGCTCGCTAGTGACTGGCTGCAGGACGAAGTTTCCTGGAGTTCGTAAGTGGTGGAGTCCATCTAGTAGGGGAGGGGTGAGGACTACTACTCGCCGATGGTGGTCGCACTAAAATCACGAATTAGTAGGAGTCAGAATTGATGCGCTGGCCTTCGATTTGGGTCCCATTGGCTGAATGGTCTACGAGTTCGCCTTGTAACCGGAAAGTCCTGGGTTCGAACCCTGACAGTGGGTGGGTTCTACCGATGGATCTAATTAGTATTTCAGTTGGTGGTGACTAGGGTTCGAATCCAGGATGTTCATTCTGTCCTATTTGGGACTCATTTGCTAGATGTGCCTGCCTCCGCAACGTGTGATGGTGTTCCCACAGAAACTTGAACCCTAAATCCATCATTTCAAATGTCAAAGCATTATCCACTAGGTTACGAGAGCCACCTACTGTACAACATATATCAGCATCAATTAAGGGGAAATCTGATACCGATGATATAAGAAGTGGCTCTTGGAATCTGATGGATAACATTTTTGTGTTTTTAAAATGCTGGGTACACAACCTGATTCTCAGTAGGAACATCATCACACATTGGGAATGAAAGTAAACCCAGATGGCGAGTCCCAAACGGGACGAAATGCGCATCCTGGAATCCACTGTTAGTCTCACCATCAACCAAAAATAACCTCACGTTAGTCCTTAAATATCGTAGAAGCGTCCTTACCAGGAGCTAACATGTTAACAGAGACCGAGCCTTTCGGTTCAACATAATCAGTCAAGGGGAAGTGAGAAATTAACCTGGAAATAAATATCGGCAGTAGTGGTTTCATGTTGTTTTGAATAATGTCGTGGCTGATTCATCATAACACGACATTCAACGTCCATTGTATCCAACTGGACATTAGCTATTAGTTGTCTTCATAAGGGATAAGATAACCTTTTGTATGTTGATGTACTTAAACTCCTTTAGAATTTTAGTATATAAATGTTCGTTTGAGCTCATATTCGTGAAAACAGTGGGTGTTTTAGAATTCTGTGTATTTCTTATGCATGTATTTAATAAACAAATGCATATATCGATGTTAATTAACCCATAGAAATATACATTCTAGGTCACATATAAAGTTTGAAAGATGACTAATGTTTGCTTTGATCCTATTCCATTTTGTTGGTTTCATCATGAACCCACATCAGTTATTGAACAAAATCCTTACAGAACTGTAAGTCAGAATATTGGCTTATTGCTCGTTTGCGACTAACGTTAGTATGGTTTTCTTTTAGTTCTAATTGGAAGTTCATTGAATTTCAACCCATTCCCTGAATAGTAACAGAGTCATTTTGGTAAACTGAAGGTTTCAGGTTTTACTTTCGCTGGCAATGTGGGCGCAATGCATACTTTTTTGCGTCTTTTGCATTCCACTTGAAAAGAAATAGGGCTTCCAGCTTTGAAGCTATAGCAATGGTGGTGTCGTTTTTACTGGGTTGGCGGCCTGTTAACCTCATACTGGACCTTCGGTGTTTTCTATGCCTGCTACTAGATAGTAGACTAGGAGAGGTTTAGTAGTGCATCGACTGGGAATTGAACCTGGACGTCTTAAGTGACTGGTGAACATTCTATCTTTGAACCATCGACACATTATCATACTATACCGAATTTTATTTCTAAAGTGATGCTGTTTAATCTGTAATAGGTGAACGTATATCAACTTTCATAACAAAACGTCAATTTCGCAAATCCAGTTGTCTAATTTCCAAGTGTAATTAATGCTTTTGTTACAGGATTTCATCATGAGCTGACATTGGTTAGAGAACCATTGGAAAACCTGGGAGTACTGGACAGCTGTTTTGTCCTAGTTTGGGACTCTTCAGCAGTACGCACTCACCGGGGTTCGAACCCAGGACTTTCTGGTTACAAGGCGAGCTCGTATACCATTAAGTCACTGGGACCCGATCCAATGGCCCGTGAATTCTAACTTCTGCCAATTCACGACTGCGTACTGCTGAAGAGTCCCAAGCTAGGACGAAACAGCTGTCCAGTGCTCCCAGGTTTTCCAATGGTTCTTTAATTAATGTCAGCTCATGATGAAATCCTGTAACCAATCAACCAAATCCCTACAAACCAATACATGAATAATGTTTTTGTTTCAGGTTGATGAATTATGGACTTCATTGAAAAATTTCTATCTACAAGCGGTGGATTATCTCTCTAAATCATCAATGATAACCTGTGATGAAGAATTATCTAACGCTAAAAATGACAATGCCAATCAACAAAATGTTACTGAGCAAGATATTATTGACTGTTATTACGAAGAGTTTGGTAGATTGTTGAAATTAGCTCGTTTAACATCAAATTTAAATTGTCCATTGCAACCTGTACTCAATAATCAATCTCTTGATAAATTGACATGTTTACTGTTCGATCGATTAGCTACTCTTTGTCTGTATCATAGTGGAATTACTGTACATAATCATGCTTCTGTATATCACGCTTTATTCAGTGTAAGTACTTTTTTGGGTGGAATGTGAATTTTCTGTTAACATATATCATATGCATAGTTTAAATTATGGGTTTTTGTGGCGATTTGGATGGATTAATTTCAATGTAGATTTTGTCACGACTCAGCGTCAGTTAGAGATTATTGAAAATTGAGGAGCATTAGAAAAGGGTTTCGTCGTAGCTTGGGACTCTTCAGCATTGAAATTAATTTAAATCCCTACAATCTCCAGGTCATTGCTAGCTACTGGATGGACGTCCCTGAAGCTGTACTGAGAAGTCATGACTAGTGGGGTTCTCACCATGTCATGATGAAGTGGATAATAATCGGGTGCATTGGTTGGGTGTGTGGTACTGTATCACGAATTGACAGAAGTTAGAATTCATCTTTCATTGAATCCCTGCCCAAGTGGCTGGACTGCCAATGAACTTGGTTACTTAACACGGAGGTCACAGGTCTGATCCCTGGAGGAGTCGTGGGCGTGAACTGATGACGAGTCCCAAACTAGGATAGGATTGAACAGCTGCCCACTGGTCTTGGGTTTGCAGTGGCCTTTAATTGATATAGGTAGTATGTGAACTCCGCCATGTTTGCGCTAAAATTATTGATTGGGTCGAGTAGATCTCCAAACAAAAGTTTTATCAGTACGAGTTGTCACACTCCATGTAGTACACGAAGGAAGACAAAAGTGAGAAAGAAAAAGATATTCAAAAGAACGATTATAAGCAGAGATGTGAGGGAGAAAGAATCGTAACATGGAAAACCATGGGGGGGGGGGGTAAATGGCTATGACAGACCACAAATAGTGAATGCATCTGAGCCAGCCATTGAGAACGAGGATTTTTTCATCCATATCACCAATTGTCTCCAGTCAATGGGATCTATCCTGCCACAACGCAGATTTCATTTTACATACAGTCGTCATTCATTACATTAGTAACACTCTGTTGACCCAGAACTATTCCAGGTAGTATCACCCATCAATGAACAACTTGCTCTTCGCCTTCTAACTGATTATGACTAAAATTCACAGGAGAAGATCTGGTTGGATGGGTAGCCAGTGTGACGATGGACGGATAGTAACGGATTACTCATGCACATGACAGCTGGGAATTAGCTGTGGTGCTTGTCATTCGAATGATGACCTGGTCAGCAGTTGGATCTCATAGCTGAGCTAACAGAGGTCACTGGTTCGAATCTTGGCACCGCGACCCAGAATATTATTCTATCTTCAGTCATCACTACCTGTTATTAAATTAAATTAAAATTTTATTATAGCTTGATTCCACACAGTATTTCAACACAAGTATGGAATTTTTAGCATGTGATATCGGTAGCCCAAATTTAGCAGGCCAACCATTGATATCAGGTGTGCGTCGGCTGGGGATCAAACTCCGGCCTATGCGCATGGTCAGCGAGCGTCCTAACCGCCATGCCACCGACGCACATACCTGTCTGCCAACATAGATTAAATTTATTTGATAAGGACTCGCAGTGTTATACAGTATTAATATCAGGAAGTAATACTGCATAAAATGTTTTGAACTCATACAGGTGGCTTAACTACCTTCATCACTAGGACTTAACGCTTAGTTATTTCTTTTGTATAAATTCCTGTGTCAAATAAGTGTATGATCAGATTGTTCTTAAATGTGTTGCAAACTTTGTTTTTATTAATATTACAAGGGGATTAACCAATTCTCACTGTACCAATTTTGTTATATTTTTTATCTGAAGTCTTCGAGACGCTGAGAATCATTGGCTAGAGACTCTTGGTGACCTGGTACAAAATCGTTCTCAGTGGTGTAGATGCATTCACTCTCTTATCCTCTAGGTCGATTAAATTCTCATTATTTTCCGTTTATTGTAGTTTCTGTGTATTTCTTTTCCCATATGCTTTTGTGTTTGCTGTATGGAGTATGCAAGTTGTTGAAGTGTTGCACTTTTGTGCAAAGTTAGTTTTGTGTTGGGAATTCAATACAGTTAGTTAGGCGGATTTTTTGTCATAAGAAATGGAATTTCGGGCATGAGTTCATTTCACTTTTCGATAAGAGGTATCCAACATTTCACTAGTGCATTTAGATATTGATGTTACAATGTTTTTATATAGTCTAATTTTATGATGAGAACTTGTGGCTCATGTAGATGATGTTAGTGTAATTGTATCCACTGAGCTAAGAGAGGTTTCACTATCTTACTAGACAATCTATTTAGCAGTAGTATAAATATAAATTAAGATTTTAAAATTCTTGATCTCATCATCCAGGTTAGAGAACATTACGGTATTATTAGATGATTAGAAGTAATCGACGGGAAACTTTGGACCTAGATATCTTGCTTCTTGACATTCATCAACATAACAGCATACCGGCCACCTTCAGTCTTTTCTTCTGTTGAATTGACCACCAATTTCAAGAAAGAATGTTTTAAGCGTTTAACTTATATCCGCTTAACTTATATTTTAATAGATTTTTATTTATTTCATTAATTTTCTACAGGAAGAACATTCAATTTCTGTAAATAATTGGTCAGGATTTTGGTTGAAGCCATTGGTGAACTTTATGTAAATATCGTCGTTTATTTTTATTTTCTGATTTGTATCTTTTCGAATACAATTTTTTCACATCTATGTAAATATATATCTATTTTATACCTACTGTTGGCTTCTTAATCGGACTATAAACGATTAATTATGATCGGTAGTCTTTCGCATATTATTTTGTTAGCTAGGAATTTTCCTTAGTGTGTGATGTTTTAGCTATTTAATTGTGTAACTTGCAATGATATGGGCGTAGGTCACTGACGAAACCCAGTTAGGACGAAACGTTTGCCTTATATCTCTGTATTAACCATCATCGAAAAATTACTGTGAGGCACTCAAAGAGTTGAAATTATTATGTGTTGTTAAGTTGCGCAAATATCTCTTTAATTACCTGTGTATTCATTATCTATTTGTGTGATATTGACTTGTAACTGCCACTCTTTTCATTGTTATGTGTCTCGTTTCTTTTTGACTATTAATTATAATACAGTTACTTACAGTCAACGACGTTAAAGAATAATTTCCCAGAAGAATAATAGCACAAATAATCTCGAAATAGTGGATACTGATGAAGTTGTTGCGGATAAATGGAGTTTATCGTTATTAGGGACTTTGGAGGATAAAATACCTTGAGCTAAACCCCAACTTTAAGCCAACCCTAGCCGCGAATTCCATCTCCTAAGCCTAAATGGTAGTAATTGGGATGAATAACGAAACTCTTATGAACAATTTACTATTATCCTTGCAACACTTTAAAGAAAGGTTTGCAGCTTAACATTCTAACATTTTTCTGAAGAACATTCTGTTTTCGTGATTCACTCTGATTGGCAGCTTGAAGGTCCACTGTTGTTTGACTTCCCCACGAAGGCGTATTGCTACTGATATTGGTACACTTTATCGTCTATCTGGAGTTATCAAATGATGAGAAGCTGATGAAACTAGCACTAAGTAGGCACATCAAATCTGAAACAATCTTTTACAGGAGTAAACCATAATGGAAGATTTAAACCATTGGACAAGGATAGAGTGTTTATTACAGTGCAATTAAATAATCTGGAAGCATAACCGTATGCAACCAATATAACTAGTTATTTCTTAGCTTATCTTTCCTAGGTACGAATATTGCGCATAGTATTATTATTATATTATTGTTTCCTTTAATTCCTAGAGTAACATAGGGATTCAGAATCACGCCTCCATTGCGTTCGGTTCTCTGCCAACGTTTTCACCTTGCTACACTTCTGCTGACTTGCTTTCATCTCCTCTTCTCATGACCTCCTTCATATCACCCTTCGACGACCAACTCACCGCTTCCCATTAGGGTTCCACTCGAGCGATGGCCTAGCGTGTGATGTCACTTGATGGTTTGTTTTCTCAGAGTATGGCCAATCCACCTCCATTTCTTCCTGCATATTTGTTGCACATTTGGTTCCTGTTGGGTTGGTTCGCTCCCAGAGATCCCTCCCTGTTGCTGATGTTTTCTGGCCGGCCATCTGATCTAGAGTGGTATTAAGCGAAAGCAGCTGTTGATGAAGGTCTGTAGTTTGTTCGAAGTGGCTTTCGTGACGTGACGCCAAGTCTCTGATCCGCGTATAGTAGCACTGACTTCACATTGGAGTTGAAAATCCGGATTTTATTTTTCATGCTGAGTGTTGTTGACCTCCACAGAGACTTAAGAGAAATGAAACCTTGCCTTGCTTTGATATCATCATCAGTGCTATCAGCCTGTAGGTGAAACGATGCTTCCCAGGTGGTTGGGTAGGCGAAGGAGGTTGCTTCTTTCAGATTTCTCCCATTTATGCTGATTGTTGTCTGTTGTTGTTGTTGTTGTTGTGGCTGTTTGCGTTGGCCAGAAATCTTCATCATCTCTGTTTTCTCTATGTTCACTTGAAGTCCTATCTTTGATGCTTTTCCTGCCAACTTGTTGCTTTTCACTAGCATAACTCCTAGTTTGTGGGAAATCAGACGTATACCATCATCGGCGAAATTCAGATCCTCCAAGTTTTTTGTTTGGGTCCATTTTATGCCTGTTTCCTCGCTGCCCGTTGTGTGTCTGTCGCATTATCCAGTCTGCTGCAACCAGGAAAGTCATTGGAGATAGTAGGCAGCCAGCTTGTTTTACTTCCATCTTCACTTCGAAGGATTCCCTGAGTGTCCCGTTGTGGATTACTTGGCACACAGCATTGTCATACAACTGTTGGATGAGATGTATAATTGTTGGCGGCACCCCATAGTAGCGAAGTAGTTGCCAAATCACCTCTTGATCGACGCTGTCGAAGGTCTTTTCAAAGTCAATAAAGTTGAGGTAGAGAACTGACTGTCATTCCTAGCTCTGTTTAATGATGATCCGTAGCGATTTGATCGATGCAGGACTTTTTCCTCCTGAATTCAGCTTGTTCCGGTCGAAGATTTTCATCCAGGACTTGTTTGATTCTCTGCAGGATGATGCGGCTTAGTATTTTGCTTGGGTTGGACAGGAGCATAATTCCGCGCCAGTTCTTGCATTGACTTAAGTCTCCTTTCTTTGGCAGTTTGAAAAGGTAGCCTTCCCTCTAGTCCGTAGATACCTTGCCCTCTTTCCACACCTTCTCCAGTAGTGATGTCATCAAGTCCGTTGATATCTCCGGGTTCATTCTCAATGCTTCTGCTGGTATTCCGTCTGGTCCTACTGCTTTTTCAGTTTTTAGCATCTTTATTGCCTTCAAGATTTCTGTTTTCGTCGGAGGGTTGATGTCCACTGATAGTTCTGCTTCCTCTGTTGGTATTGAATGCTCATAGCAATAAAATCGAATTGTTCTCACTGGTACGGATCGATCTGTCTCCTCTGTTTATTTGCATAGGCTCTGTGAGTCAAAAGAAATCTGTGATCAGTGTTAGTATTGAACCGATAAATCAGCAGTATTATTACGTCGTCATCACCATAACATCAAGATACTGTGTTCATTAATTAAATGAGTCTATCATTCTTCTTTGAATGCTCGTTCAAGTGTAATTAAAGCAAAGTTAAATACCCAACAAGCTAAAGTGCACAAGTGACTTTATAACTCTCGCTTAGAGAGAGGCAGTGAAACCGGGTAGGTGTTGGATGAAATCTTATGATATTAAAGAGGATATCTGGCTAATTTTAGGTTAGGTTAGAGAAAGATTAAAGTTAGGTTTAGCCGAGAGACAGACAAGGTTTGAATTATAATAATAATATTATTATTATTCCCATGCTTTCCGAGTGGAACATACGGCTTCAATAACACATCTCCATCTTGTTCTATTTCCTACTGACCTCTTCAGCTGGGTCCACGATTGACCAAATCCTCTCATCTCTTCCTCACACGACCTCCTCCATGTCACCCTCGCACTGATGACCCACTCGTCGCTTCCCATTGATATTCCACTCAAGAGACGGCCTGGCGCACGATGTCACTTGACAGCCTCCTCAACGTATGACCGATCTCCACTTTCTCCTACATATTTGTCGGTTGAGCAATCGGCTCTTGCTTGTTGGTTTGTTCCCAGTCAAAGTTTCCTGTTGCTAACTCTCTCTGACTGTCTTGCTGGCCGGCCATTTGATCCTCAGTATGGAGCCAGCCAGTGAAGTAGGCAGCTGTTGATAAAAGTCTGTGACTTGTAGGGAACTATTTTCGTGACTGACACGCAGTGCAAGTTTCGGACCCGTATCAAAGAACCGACTGACTTCATATTTGTGTTGAACAGAATCCAAATCTTGTTCCGTATGCTGACTGAGTGCAGAAGATTTCTGAACTGGTTTCAGGTTGGTGAAGGCGTATCTTGCTTGTCTTTCCGATTCTGGCTGGCTGGCTGGTGGTTTTGACATTTTTATCCGTGCTGTCCGACTGCCTGTGGCTGAAACCGTGTTTCCTGGCTGGATAAGTGAAGGAAGTAAGGTCTGTCAAATCTCTCCCGTTGATGGTGATTGGTGCTGGTTGTTGTCGCTGTTGGTTGGCTGGTTGTTTGGTTATCTTCATCACCTCCATCTTCCCTATGTACACCTGGAGTGCTGTCTTCGCTGCCTCCCTCTTCTGCCACTTTGTTGGTTTTTACCTGCAAGTCTTCGAGTCTGTGCTACATTAAACACGAACCAAATCCTGTCTTCTCACTGCTAACGCACAGTCTTCCGCAAAATTCAGTCCACCACAATTGAGAATATCGTCAGTGATAATAGGCAGGCAGCCAGCCAGTTCATCTTACTCCTGTATTCACTTCGAAGGCCTCGCAGAGTTTCCCATCGTGGATCACCTGACACGTGGCACTGTCATACAGCTAGCTGTTGAATGAGATTGATAAAGACTTGGGCATTACACGCCATAGTGTCGGAGTAGTTTCCAAATTACTTCTTGGTCTACGGTGTCGGAGACCGTTTCAAAGTTGATGAGATTGAGGAAGAGGTTTGACTGCCATCCTATGCTTTGATCGATGACGATGCGTAGAGTTGCAATTTGATCAGCACATTATTCGCCTTTCCTGAATCCAGCTTGTTCCGGTGACGTGTGGAGTTCTGTATCCAGTGTATCTCTTATTCTCTTCGGGACGATGCGACTTGAAGTGGACAAGAGCATTATTCCACGCCAGTCCTTGCAGAGGCCCAAGTTAGCTAGGCTCTCTTCCAATCGGTAGGCACCTTTGCTTCCTCTCAAACCTTTTCCAACAATGGCGTGAGCACATCTACCGCAGTCTCTGGGTCTCTTTTGAGTGCCTCGGGGGGATCCCGTCTAGCCCTGTTACCCTCCTCGTCGGCATTCAGTAGCTTGATTGCATTTAGGACCAGATTTACATTTTAGCGTGATTGATTTTTAATAGTTCATTGTGCCTTCTTATCTGTTGCCAATAGATACGTTTTCATATTATTTGTTTACTCCCATACATTTAAATGAATTAAAACATTAAAACAAATGAGTAAATTCAATATATTTTAAATATGTAGACAAAAATAACAATGATAAATAAAAGCTTTTCATTCTTCTTTTCTTTCTTCTTCTCTGAGGTTTTCTCTTCGCCTTAAGCTGAATAATAAAGATTAGCAGTAGCTTGCTCATTATTATTATTATTATTATCATTGTCGTTCGTATCGTCTGTCTTCGTTGTCTCCAGTAGGCGTTCATCATTTGAATACAACAGACATGATTTAATCCAATTTGAATGTTGTCTAATTCGTTTACAGATTTCATATTTCATTTGTTCAATATGATTAATGATATTCAAAAGAATGATTTGTTTATTCTTTGTCTGTTTCTTTTAAAATTGATAAAGATGAATAAAAAGAGAGAAAAAAGGAGGTTATTTTTTCAAGTATATAGAGTAGTATTTGCATGTTTAGAAGAAGAAATTGTAAGCTAATTCTACAGATCTGGTATGCATGTATATCTACATAAGTATGACTCGTCGATAATAACCATTTATCTTCCAGCCATTAAGGTTTCGAGTTTCTACACTGACTCATTCGTTAACCAAGAGAGAGAGAGATAACCACAGTCAGCTGGCATAATAGTTCCTATAGACAATAGGAGTATCTTATTGTTTATTGCGTAAATCCACACATGTTTACTGAGTTAGTCAGTCAGTCAGTCCGTCGGATCTATACCACAGATCTCCCTATGATCCACTTCCTCGACATCGCCATGGAACGCCTAGAAGACGGTAGTCTTCAAAAGTCAATTTATCGAAAGCCCACATGGAAAGGACAATACTTATATTTTAATAGCTTTTGTCCAAATAGCTTTAAATGTGGTCTAGTCAAGACTCTGTACTATAGAGCGAGGAGAATATGCTCTATAGAGAAATTAGAGGAAGAATTTAAGTTTCTTGAAAAGATATTAAAGAGCAATGGGTACCCTCAAAGGTTCATCAACAAGTATGGAAGATCTGAAGTCACAAATATGAAACAAATCACAGTAGAAAAAAAGCCAGTCTACATTCAGCTTGATTCTAAAGGTGAAAACATTGCAGCGATGATCAACAGAAGGCTGAGCACATCACTAGCCATAGCCGATCCTGCAGCTAAGCTCGTTCCCGTCTATCGAACAACTTGCTCTTTGATGCAGTCAAAAATCGGTAGATTTCTTTCTCATGTTAACTCCAACTGTATATACATATTTACATGTATCTGTGGGAGCAGTTACAATGGAAGAACAGGGAGAAGGGCATATCTACGATTTTCTGGACATGTACCAAAAAGCTTACGTCTAAAGGGAACAAATGCTATAAACAGTGCCATCGCCAGGCATCTCATTGACACGGATCAAGAGGTGGACGTCGAAAAGTCATTGAAAATTATCAATAGGCAAAAGAGCTCAATTCTCCTTAAGTTTGCTGAAGCCATTTCCATCAAGCACCTGAAACCTGAATTATGCGTTCAGAAAGAAGCGGTTATCAGTCTTTCTTTGCCCTGGTAACTGGATATTTTTCATCCGAATGCGAGATGCTGAAAAGTTTTCATTGTGTATGATGATTATTGTTCGGAATAGTGTTTAATATTGCATATATATGTATATATTATTACTGTATGCGTATATTGATCGATTGATTTTCGTTTGAAATGAACTCTGTGCAAGTATGTTAAAATTGTTTTTTTAGATACATTTAATAATTTCTTTGCCCTGTAAGCAGCTGACGAGAAGGCAACGAAATAAAAGATGGCACCATTATATTCTGCTAAAACTGTAGTTCTTGCTTTGTTCATATCTAGTCCTTATTGATAATTATGCATAAAAGTCATGTAATATCACAGATATGGAGATGGATTGCATGACGCTGAGGAGACTGTTGAGTGACATCGCGCTCCATACTATCACTCAAAAACAACCCAACTGGGAGACGACGAGTTAGGCGTCTAAGAGGGACATGGCGGGAGATCGTGTCAGCAGTAGATAAGAGCTTATAAGAAATTGTGTAGCCGAGTAAAGTAAGATATCGTCGAAGCGTCTGTACTAGGAGCCAGTATGTCAACGGAGGCTGAACATTTGGGTCCAATCAATCAAAGGGAAATAAAAAATTAAACAAATTGTAACTTATACCCGCTGCATAAATGGTAACTCTTGTGATCGAAATGTTCTATTGGACAACGCCTTGGTGTTTGAAACGGTGGGTACTGGGTTCAGCTAGGTCGGTAGGAACACTATCATTCATTGGGTGTAATGCAGGCACATCCGGCCGACAAGTCCTAAATAGGATGAAATGCGCCTCCTGGATTCTGTTGCTAGTCGCTATCCACCAAAAAGCATTATGTCAATCCTTAGACGTTGTCGAAGCACGTGTAGTAAGAGCCGACGTATCAACGGTGACCGAACATTTCGGTCTGATCAAGAATGAGCTGTTACCTTTGATGTTTTTAGGCTCACTATATAACCTATGGTAGGACTGTATTAGATATTTAATTGGGCACAACGTTGTGAGTGAAGTCATACATCTAGTCCTTCGTTTGATGCAGACTAAATTATATCAGTGTAGTTTGCAATGTGGCAGGTAACAAGCACAAAACCTAGGCGCCTCAAAGCTTCCCGCCGATTGTCTCCAACCATCCAATGGCAACAATTCAGTGTACACCGTGATAGCGAGCTACCTAGCATGATGACCACATTGCAAACTTGATTGACTATAATTCAGTCTGAACCAAACGGAGGACTACCCAATGTCGAATGAAAGTAATTACGAACACTGCAAATTAGACACTTGAGAGATATATAAACTAGTGATTATTTAAAGCAAAACAGTGTTACACTGATCAAATAGGAATTACGGAGTTTCACAAGTTTTGTATAGAAAGGTGATATTGCCTTCAAGGGATTTCATTCTACTATTTTTGTTGAGTTTTCCCATCGTGAATAGTAGATACAACTCATTAATTGATCATCAACTTATCTGATTTGGCTAAAAGTTTTGTTATGCTTTCTGATTACATAGCACCATTTGATTATGTATATTTGTTAGTGGAAGATAACTACTGTCATTTGTAGCATCAGATTGTCTCCATGCTGAGAGATTTATCATCATTGTGTACTTATAATTACTCTTCAGTGATTGCAGACAGTCGCAGTATCTGTGACGTCTCCTGTGATATGTAAGCCGAAAGCTGTAGTCAGTCAGATACGACGTTACGTTTACGTAAAACTAATAGACCTGAATGACACACATCGGAAGATTGGATTTAGAACACTCAAAAATTTGGTTTATAACTTTCTTTAAAAATAATAAAGTTGTATTCTATAACTGTGATCCTTTGTCAACTACAGGCTGTGCTCATATCTTATTAGCTTATTAAGAAATTATGCGTTATCAGTAGGTGTAAAGACTGCAGCTATTAAACGTGTTCATAGTCGTTTGAAGTAGGTTGATATCATTAAAAATATTCAATATTCTGTTAGATATTCGGCTTTTTAAGCTTTAATTTTTCATGGTAGAGCTTTAAGCCTCATTCTAGATGCCATATTCGGTGTTACATTTTCAGGAAGTAGATATCAACGGTGGAGTATCCTATAGTATTGATTGATGAAATATACTCCCGGTTGTTTCTTCTTAAAGTACTCTAGCTTCTGTGTTCCTTACTGATGGGGAAGGATAAACACGAAACTTAGGTCAAACAGGATTTTCTGATGGCTGAATCCGGTCAAAATTTAACTGACTGTACTTTGTACACACTTAAGATTAAATTAAATTTTGAATACAATACTAGTTACCGTATACTTTTTGCATTTCTCTGCGTTCGCAGTTGAACATAACGCTTCAGGCTTGAAGGCATTGAACTTTCAGTAGCGTTGTTATTTTTACGGCATTTGGTTGTTAACCCTACGCTCAACTTTATCTCTTTCTCTCGAAATGTTTGGAGTATGTCAGTCGGAAATCGAACTCCGGCCTACGTGCATGGTCGGTGGATATCCTACCATTGTACTATCGAAATACACCGTTTATATTAGATTACATTCAACCTTGAAGTAGCACTTAGTGTTTTACGATAAAAAAATGAACATAAATTGGTAAATAAGAAAGTTTTCAAAGAAAATAACCCCGAAAAATGACTTACACTTGATTGGTCAACTTTTACATGATTTATTGAATCGATACTTGATTTGATATTGTCAAACATTTTTGAGTCGACACATTGTTGATAACGTAACTATCAGTAAATAAGGAGAGAAATTTATTTATTTATTATTCTACCTTTTGTATAACTTTTATTAAAATTAGTATAGTGAGTGAATTCACGTATTCTATTGGTTAAAATATCTTTATGTGGAATAATCAGCGTATTTCTAGTGAGTTTCAAAAAGTGGTTTTAGCCTGAAATCGCATTTACCCTATCAGCTCATAAATTGCTGGAATGATACTGTGCACACCCTGGAATTCATCTCTTCCTGAAATCCTCGGTAGTTGGTTTCAGTCAACTACGTAAAGAGGTGTAAGCCGCCTAGTTGCGAACCTCGGGATGTTAAGAACTATTGAATACAGACATTTGGTGACATGTCTCAATGAAACAGATGCATTCACTGCTTCTAATCTCCCAAATCTATTAATCTTCCACGTTTTTACATTGTAATATTCTTTCATCTATATTAGGTAAGTGTATTTTAAATATCACACAGCAGTGATGCAGTATTAACAACTGGATGAAAAGGTTTCAAGCATAAATTACTGCTGCTCATAATCATATCATTTTTTGTCACAGGGTTTCAAAATCTATCTTACATATTTGTTTCTTTCTGTCCTTTCAACTTCACCTTGTTGTCTGTTGCCATTTTCCATATATCTGGTATAGGCGTTGCATCATTTTGATTGCTTCTGTGTGGTGTTGAATTGACAAACAAAGCTTCAGTGGTTAACCTCTCTCTCACTGTACCTAACTATATTACTTTTTAGTACTTTTAACCTGTCCCACCCTATTTTGTTTATCTTTGTCAGCTTAAGGACCCAATAGATCCAATTGGGAAAATAATATGATTTACCAAATACCATGTAATGACCATTAATGAGGTCAATTACATAGGTCAGACTAGTAGATCAGGGTCAACTAGATTATTGGAACATAAAAATTTAGATAGACCTAGAACAATTGACCCTGTTAAGTTAAATAACCTAGAAAAATGCTCAGGAATTGCACTGCATTCACTTGAGGGCAATCACAAAATAGGGTGGGTGGGACAGGGTGAGAGTATTAAAAAGTAATATAGTTAGGTACAATGAGAGAGAGAGAGGTTAACCACTGAAGCTGTTTGTCATTTGAACACCACACAGGGGCAATCAAAATGATTCAACGCCTATACCGGAGGTATGGAGGTATGATCAATAACGTATTCTGGAAACGTCATCAAGTTGTTAATACTGCATCATTGCTGTGTGATATTTAAAATAAACTTATCTAATATAGAATTAAATTCTATCACAGTGCCCAAGTTCTACACTTGCATTCATTCTTTCTTATGTAGATTCCTTCTTTTTACAATTGTTTTGAGTTTCTTTTCTCTACCACTGTGTGCTACATGGAGTGTGACAACTTGGAGTTCTGCATTTTTGTTCAAAGTCCTGTGTTGAAGCTCAGTTAGTCAGTCATAAAGTTAAACCGGCCATTATGATGGTTTAGCCAGGGAAATCCACTGGTGAAATGGTTGACCGATACTCTGGAAGAGTTAACTGAAAAATGGATTGATTTATCTCAGGTTAGACAGCGGATTGATATCAGTTAGAGAACTATTGAAAACCAGCACTGGAGTACTGGACAGCTGTTTAGTCCGCATAGTTTGGGACTCATCGGCAGTGTAAATATCTAGCTTGAAGTCTTATTAACTTCTGACTATCAACGGAACATTTAGCGTTCACACTGGCCAAGTGTGGTCCCAGTACTTTATATAAGACAAAAACCACTCTAATCCGGGAAAGCTACCAAAGATCCTCAATGAAATAATTCAGCTCAAAGAGCTCAACAAAATGAAAACAAAACATTTATCACCTAAAAGAAAATGTAACACCTTTGCAGTTGTCTTAAATCCATCATTACAATAGTGTTTCATGTGATTCGTTGGTTTCTTGTTATCTTCGCCAACCAACCAATATAGGGTCAAGGAATTTAGGCCTTCTACAAATTCCGTGACAAATTACAGCACCCACTATTTATGACTCTCAGTTAGTAAGAGACTGATACCTCAATGATTTTCGTATTCAACACGTAGATCACTTTTAGAGATAGGCACAATGTCTTTAAGATGATATTCGTTAAGTAATGAATATTATAGTAAATGTTCATAGGAAGAAGTATAGGATCTTTCTGAATATTCTTACTTCACAGGCTGCTTTAAGTGTTTTACACAGCTCCATAGCGTTTGTATGACACGTTATTACATGACATATGAATAAATCATCAGCTGTGTGTTGAACAATCCCGCAAATTCTGAAAAAGGAAGAAAAAAAACAACTGTGTGCAGTACATAGTAATTTATCAATAGTTTAAAGCCTTGTTATAAGTGTATAAGAAGTTCTCATTCAAAACTACTATTGTTGGATTTATGGGAAGGAATTTCGTTGATTTCAAAGTAGATTTCGTCACCAGATGACAGCATCTGGGGAACCAATGAAAAAGGGGAAACGTTAAGCATATGTTTTTTTCTAGTTTAGGACTCTTCAATCTTACGCGCCCATTATCAGACCAGAAGTTGAACACAGGACCTTTAGGTCATGATGATAGCGCCTTACCATTCAGTCACTGAAACGGAACGTAATAGTCCATGATTTCTAAATTCCGTCAGTCAGACACACGACACCACCATCATTCAATGATGGCGATGAAATCAACCTTGAAATCAATCAAATTCTTACAAACCATTATTTAAAAATTCCACTATAATTGTAAATATTCTTAAGTGATACTATCATAAAAGAAACTGACTTATTGTTAGAATTAGGGTTAGAATCAGTCCTACCAAAGGCTTTTTAGAAGTATGAGTTATCCTGCAAAATTTTGATTGAAATTCTGCGGTGATAACATAGGTGTATATCATACTAAAATCACTGTGGAGATCTACAACAGTTACCACAAAAACAAGATCAGAATCTCATAATGAACTGATATCGGTTAGAGGACCATTGGAAAACCACCAAGGAGTACTGGACAGCTGTTTCTTCATCTGTACGCAGTCACCGCCAGGGTTTGAACCCAGGACCTTCTGGTTACAAGGTGAGCTACCTTGTAGAACATTGAGTCACTGGGACTCGATCCAATGGCCAGTCCCTGAATTCCAACCACTGCCAATTCATGATATGACGCGACCACTAGCGAATGTTATCCGTGGTATTTGTCCTTACATCGACCAGTCACTACCAGGCTTTTCAATAGTCTTCTAACCGATGTCAGTTTATGATGAAATCCTGAAACGAATCAAATCCCTGCAAAACAACACTTGAATATCAAGTCAGTACTTTGATATAGTTCAGAGACTTGCTACATCACCAAAAGCAGTTTCAACGGCCTGCAAACTTTCATCAACACCTACGTACACCACTTCGATACTGAAAAATGGATGGCCAACCAAAAAGGATAAGCAACAAGGAATTCTGATAGCGCACCTACTGCCCAACAAATACGTAGAAGAAAATGGAGGTGAATAAGGCATAAGTTGAGGAGAACTTCAGGTGACACCATACACAGGTGGTGAAGTGGAACCCCGTCGGGAAGTGGCGAGTTGAGCGTGGGTCTGGATGTAACATAGGGCGGATCATGTAAGGAGGAAGTGGACACATGGAATGAATAATAATCATAATAACGATATATGCTGAATAATTCAGCCACCCAAGTAAAGTCATGCTGAAAGTAATATTGAACAGACTCAAAAAGAAAGTAGAGGAAATACTCTCAGAAGAACAGGCCGGATTCAGGCCGGGCAGAAGCACTGCTGAACAAATTTTTAACATAAGGGTACTAAACGAAAAATGTCTACAACACCAAAAAATGCTAGTACACAACTTTATCGATTTTAAGAAGGCCTTTGACCGTGTGTGGCACGAAGGCTTATGGCAAGTCATGAATAACTACAATATAGATAAAAACATAATTGAGGTTATTAAGTCTTTATATAACAAATCTAGTAGTGCGGTATCTCTAAATAATCAAACTGGCGAGTTCTTCAGAACAACTATAGGAGTACGCCAAGGGTGCATTCTCTCACCAGTCCTCTTTAATTTATTCCTCGAACATATTATGACACAAACCCTACATGACTTTACACCGACACTTAGCATAAACGGAAGACCAATTTCCAACCTCAGATTTGCTGATGATATAGCCCTCATTGGGGAAAACATTGATCAAGTTCAGGACCTCACCTCAAGACTTGATGTTGCAACCAAATCTGTGGGCATGGAAATCAGCACAGAAAAAAGCAAAATACTCATTAACGGAGGAAACAACTCAGATAGATGTATCAGACTTGATGGACATGTATTAGAAGAGGTTGAAACTTTCAAATACCTTGGGTCTACCCTAACAAAAGATGGAAGGTCCACTAAGGAAATAAAAATTCGACTAAACCTAGCCTCTGCCACCATGTCCAAGTTAGGGAAAATATGGAAGAGCAACATCAGCGTCTCAGCAAAAATGAAACTCTACTCGTCACTGGTCCTCTCTGTATTCCTATATGGATGTGAGAGCTGGACCCTGAATGCAGAGACAGAAAGAAGAATACAAGCCTTCGAAAACAAAAGCTATAGAAGGATCCTAGGAATAAGTTACCTTGAAAGGAAAACTAATGAATATGTCTTACACCAGGTCCATAGACTGGCAGGAAAACAGGAACCACTCCTTTCAATCGTAAAGAAACGAAAACTACAATGGTTCGGCCACACGGTAAGACATGACACATTGTCCAAAACGATTCTACAAGGCACAGTAGGAGGAGCACGAAAGAGAGGTCGACCGAATAAGAGCTGGCTTGACAACATAAAAGAGTGGACTGAAATGCCCTTGGATACGCTACAGAAAATAGCATTAAACCGAGAAGAATGGCGAAGACTGATAGCGCGAACTGTCATAGCACCCCCACGACGAAAGTCAAGGGACTGATGATGATGATGATGAATTCCAAAAAAATGAACTCATAAAACATCACACGTAATAATCACATTACTTACTTTTCATCTTTATTATATATTCCAAAAAATGGTATTGAACAGATTCGAAGATTTACAGCAGTGTAATTTTGATAAGACTGAATGAAACAGGAATAAACAAGTAGAAATATGAATTAAACTTACAGTAATCACTAGTTATTATATTCTAACTTTCAAGAATTAGTCTGTAGGGATTCTATTTGTTTCATGTTATACCATAGATTGGCCTCAGTTAGAGAACCATTGAAAACCAGCACCAGCTGTTTCGTCAGCCTAGTTTGGGACTCATCGGCAGTACGCACCCACTGGGGTTTGAACCCAGGACCTTCCGGTTACAAAGTAAGCTCGTAGTCCATTGAGCCACTGGGACCGAAATCAATGACCAGCTCATGAATCCTAACTTCTACTAATTCGTGATTTTAGTGCGACTACTAGCCACTGTCATCGGCGGGAACTCCATCCTCACTCCTAATTGGATAGACCCCAGGAATTGGTAGAATTTAGAATACATAACCTGGCCATTGAATCAGGTCCCAGTGGCTGAGTGGTATACGAGCTTGTCTTGTGACCGGAAGGTCCTAAGTTCGAAACCCAGTGGGTACGTACTGCCGATGAGTTTCAAACTAGGCTGACGAAATTACTGTCCAGTACTCCAATGCTGGTTTTCAATGGGTCTCTAAGTCATATCAATTTGTATTCTAAGTATTTATTCGCACACGAAATTGTATTTCAAAAATGCTAAAAATCAAATTCATAATTTTCAAATTGGTTAGCAATTTGCTGCGTACACAGTCCTAAAGGTGGAATTTCATCATAGTTCCTTTTGGGAACCAAATTATTCGGATCAGAATGTGTGATCCGCTTGATACCGTAAATGGTAGGTCATTAAGTAAGCAAGCATATTTGCATAAATTTATGTACTACTAATTGACTGGGATGGGTAGTTGAACACCACTCATATCAGCCAGTAGCGCCTACTAGGCAGAATGAGGTGATCTAAACCTCAGATGGCTGTTGATGTGCGTGGCATATAACTAGTCATCTCGATCAATCAGTTTTTGTATTCCGTAGCATTCCGAGTGGAACGTAGGGATTCAAGCTTGAGTTTTGATATTTCATTAGCAGTGGTGTTCTTTTATGAGATAAGGTCGCTAGCCTCACGCCCAACTTTCCTTCCTCATCAGACTAGGCGACATATAGGAGTACGTCAGCTGTTAATCGAACCCCGCACCACGTATACGGTTGGCGAGCATTCTGTCACAAAACCTCCGACGCAATTAATCAGTAGTATATATGCTTTTATACAAAAAAATATGCTACAAATTCGTACTTTAAAACCAGTTAAATGAAATATTACCTAATAAATGCTTTAAGCGAATAAATAGTTGAACTGTAGACAGTTCAGACTTTTCGCATCACTTCATTCGTTTTTGAAAAGCGGTTTTTTGTATTTAGCGTAAATTTCAAAAAGGATTTTAGTATATGACATTATCTGATAAGTAAAAACCGAACATCGCGTCAAAAATATAAAATGTGCTAATTGGTTTTTTTTTTTACTTTTTTTTATGATAAAAAGCTTTACTAGTGTCTCTGTTTTCTAGTTAGCTGTCGGAACAGTGAAATGAGTTAAATTCTTATCAAGTGTAAAATAAAACATCCTCCGGTTATAAAACTTGTTAGCTATAGATGAAAGTTAAACATTTCAATGCTGTTTTATACACATTACAATATCTTGTCTAGAATATTTTATGTGCAAAATAGCTCTTGAGAAAATATAGATTAGAAAAAAAAACTTGGAAATTTAAAGTTTTTTCCTCTGTCTGTATTTCGCCTGAAACAATAGATTTTCTACGAGAAGGAATGATTTCGATATTAACATGACTGACTGACGGACTAGTTTCAACGTAGAACTTTGCACAAATGTGCAGCAGTTTGAGTTGCCACACTCCATGTAGCACACAAAGCGAGAGAAGAGAGGAAGCACAAGTGTGAGTCAGGGAAAAGGAATAGTAATATGGAAAACAATAGGGCTTTATCTGATATCACAAATGACGAAGGGTGAATGCATCTGTATCACTCAAAACAGTTTTGAGCCATATCATCGATTTCCTCCAGCCGTCATTGGTTCTTACCACACCGAGGACCTCAACCAGTCACGTGGTCTACACCTTCCTATGTGGCTGGCTTAAACTAACTGTTGTGGATTTGATTGACTGATGAAGCCATGTTTTGGTTTGACCACCACTGGCTCTTCTCCAAGCTGGTCAATCCTATGTCAGCTAACATTGCCCATTGTCGAGGAAGGCGATGGCTAGGGATGCATGCGTAATACATGTCCTAACCATCTCAATCGATGTAGCTTCACAACCTCGTCGATTGATTTCTCCTCTTTACCTAGCACTCGACCGAAGGCTAACGTCAGTGTTACTCACCCTATAATACTACCTGACACAGGAGATAGGACGTAGACACCTATGATCAAAGGCAGGTAGTCAGGCTTTTTGTGTCTTCGACTTTCAATGGCCATTTCTCACTCATGGCCATAAAGGAGGACGGAGCGAACTACTGAGCATAACACAGGTCCTTTGGTCGACATCCAGTCGGATATCACGTCTACGCCAGAGATGGAATAAGTTGGCATATGCCAAACGAGCCTTATGTATCCGTGATGAGATTTCGTCAGCGACCAACCCACTGGAACTGGCTGATGCAACTTCCTGAATAAGTGAAGTGGTTAACCCACTCTACCACTTTACTCCCACCTATCATTAAGCTAGTAGTTAATGTAGTCCAGTCCTGTAGCATCAACTTACATTTGACAGGAGCGAATCGCATGCCAAAAATTCGAAGATTGCTGCCTGTCAAGGTGTTCAGAAGACTCTGTATTTTGTCAGCGTCTTCACCTAGAAGCAGGACTATATAATCCCCATATTCTCCATCAACGAAATTATTCCCTGCTGGTGTCAAGTCAATCCCTGAGTCACTAAAGTCAGTTGGAGTTAAGCCCATTAGTACACCTATGCTGGATAGTTTAACTGATATTGACTGAAGCTCTGTTGAGGAAATGAGCTTTGTATTTTGTTGAATTGCATTAACTGAGTACTGATTACAGGAATAGAACTTAGACAGTGTGTTAGGGTGTATTTGTTGGTTTAAACACAAAAATGGTACAGGGTAGGCACGCAAAATGCATTATTACTATTATCTTAGTTTCTGAGTAGTACAAAGGACTTCAACAATACATCGCTATTTAATCCTGTTCCCTGTAGTTCATTTTTGACTGGCCTCACGATTGTCCATAAGCTTTCATCTCCTTCTCACACGATCTCACCCATCTCACCCTCCGATCCACGTCCAACTCGTCGTTGCCCATTCGGGTTACATTCGAGGAGCTGGTACGCTACCTCTCTCAACCATCTTCTTAGTATTAGATCCATCAGCATTTTCTTCGACATACTTGTGATATGATTATGAGCAATAGTTTGTGCTCGAAACGTCATCAGTTAATATTACTGTGTAACATTGTGATTTATCAAAATAAAATCTTATCCATAATGGAGTTACACTCTACCACAGTGCCCAAGTTTTATACTTATATCAATGTGCCAAGTCTCTTAACCATACAGAGACACTCATTTAACATTAGTGTTATAGATCCGAATCTTGTTTCTTATGCTGAGTCAGGCATATTTCCTCACTGATTTTAGATGAATGATCTATCTGCTTTCCCGATACTGGATAGCATTTACGCCGTAATCCCTACCTGGAACGATGCCGTCTAGATAAGTGAAAGAATTGACTTCCTTCAAATTTGTCGTGTTGATGGTGTTCCGCGCTTGTTGTTGTCCGTTGGTTATCTTCATCACCTCTCTCTTCCCTATGTCCGCTTGTAGTTCGATCTTCACTGCATCTTCTACTAGCTTGTGGGTTTCCGTTTCTAGATCTTCGAGTTTGTGTGACCACGTAAAGTATTTAAACGATGATATAAAGGAAGGAGGAATAAAACAGTTGACGAACAAGATTGTGAAAGCCAGTGTACTACATTTTATTAGTATCGCTAGTAGGAAAAACAAGGGAAGTTCAGGATATTTTCCACTGATTTCCATTCTGAGACATATCTTATAAGATCTCAGTAATATATTAATGCGATCATGAGCAATAAATTAAGCTGGAAACGTTGTCCAGTTATTACTGTGTGTTACGATTAATAAACCTATATAAAATGGAACCAACCAGGAACCGATTGTGAAACAAATATGCAGAAGGAAGTGGAGATGGATTGGCCATACTCCGAGGAAACCATCAGGTGACATCACCAGACAAGCCCTTGAGTGGAACCCAAAAGGGAAGTGGCGAGTTGGTCGTCCAAGGGTGACTTGGAGGAGGTCATGTGAAGAGGAGATGAAAACATGTGGGCAGACATGGAGCCAGGTGAAGACTCTAGCAGAGAACCGAACTCAATGGAGATGCACGGCTGAAGCCCTATGTTACTCTAGGAATTAAAGGATACAATAATAATAATCTTTCGTCCGTGAGGGCCATTCCATGAAATGGTCTCCTCAGATGCCTTCTTCACTCAGATCGAAGACTGGTAGTCAGCGAACGGTATGGAAACTGCTGGGATGATATTTTTCATTCATGCACATATCAGTGATGCTGGTGTCTCTCCACGTAGTTATCCATTGAAAAACAATCTTCGCCATGTCCATACTTACACCTTCAGAATTATTTTAACGTGGCGGCTTCTGAATGCAAGCAGTACAGTGGAAATAGCTTCCACTAAACACACAGAGCCATTACACGTTTTCAGTTTAGACAGGTTGGATTTCGCAGGCGTAGTGCAAAACTGCGTGCACCGAGGAGTTGTAAACCTGATTTTTAACAGCCAAAATTGCCCTGTCATAGCAACAGAGTTTACCTAAGTTGACAATTGCAGCTCCGAATTTCGCCATAAAGTCGAGTTTTTCAACCGCCATAACTCAATCAGCGCTTACTTGCTTATTAACTAGATACACAAAATTTTCGATTACTTTTAAAGATTCACTATCTAGGGTGAATGTAGCCACATGATCCTGCTAATCTTGCACTTTAATAGGGT